TATATATATATAATATATTATACCTAAGTACACATGACGATGTTATACATTACTTCAAAGCAGAAAATTAGCCAATTTTACTTACCCACAACAGCCCAGTACCAGATGGATGCCAAGCAAGCCCAGTAATACCAGCGTCCCCCGGATTTTGGAATCTGTCGAAGATTGCAGCAAACGTTTTGGATAAGTTTATATCTCACACTCTAAACACTAATCCAATCCCGCGCTCTGCTGCGTGGGGGGTGTTCCGTCCATAGGCTTCAACACCCTACCAAACCTTACATCGATATGTTTTACACCATACACTGGGTACCACACACGGTACATACTTACACTACCAAACGTTATATCGATATCTCTCACACCATACACTGGGTATCACACACGGTACATACTTAACCTACCAAACCTTACATCGATATCTCTCACACCATACACGGGGTATCACACGCTGTCCATACTTACCCTATCAAAACTTACATCGATATCTCTCACACCATACACTGGGTATCACACACGGTACGTACTTGTACACGGGGGATTGTTCTGTGGCCACTGATGAGTACACCACCACGGCTCCCGTGCTGTTTGCCGTAGCGAGCAATTGCTCAGAGGGTGCAAACGCCACTATGTCTATGTTTGATTTGGACAAGCCCTGAAGATAAACACGGATATGTGGGAAGGGTTTAGGGGTCAGAGTTTTAGGGTTCTAGGATTTTAAGGGTTCAGGGTTTATGGGTTTTTAGGGGGTTAGGATCTAAATTCAACAGAGACTAGAGTGGGGGGAAATGAGTGCTAAGCACAAATAGCGTTCAGGTGTTAAGTAAGGTCTGCTCATATACCACATCAAAAAAAAGGTCGCTATTATGCATAGACCTGATCAGGCTTCATGTTATACCCGATGCAATACCCAATAGTTCTAAAAATACTTGTTGGGTCGTATTTATCATACCAACTAACCTTGATTCTAGACATAGTTAATATGACAGAAATGAGAATACACACACACACACACACACAC